GCGTCCCGGCTCCTCCTTCCGTCCCCGCGTCCCGGCTCCTCCTTGCTGGCGTGGCAAGTGCGGCTGGTAGGCCGCAAGCACCAGCGCACAGCCCCACGGCTGCCGGGACACGAGCTGCCGACACCCCGAGGGGGCTCGGAGGCAGGGTCTCCCCGCGTCAAGCACCCTGAGCAGAGGACCCAGTTAGGTGTGCCCAGATTCCTGACCCACTGACCCTGTGGGACAATAAATGGGTGGAGTCTGGGGCAGTCTGTCCTGTCTCTGTCCCCTGGACACACGCACGAGAGGCCGGATCAAAAGGAATACGAAGACCTGACAGACGCTAGCACCGCGACACCCCTGCCACCCCCTCCCCCGACCTCGGCACTCGGGGCTCCTCCTCCTCTCGTCCCCACCGCACAGCGAGGTCAGAGAAACTGCACCATTCACCACTGAAGTACACGATTGTCAGTGTTCACAGTGTGTACATCTGGCAAAATGTATACATCACATGATGCTTGTCATTTCAACCATTTAGAAAAATTTTTATTTTGTTATTTTTTAGTTTACTTATTTAAAAAAAATTTTAAATTTTTTTAATGTTTTATTTATTTCTAGGAGAGAGAGAGAAACAGAGTGAGCAGGGGAGGGTCAGAGACAGAGGGAGTCACAGACTCTGAAACAGGCTCCAGGCTCTGAGCTGGCAGTCAGCACAGAGCCCGACGCGGGGCTCGAACCCACGAACCGCGAGATCATGACCGAAGTGAAAGTTGGACGCTTAACCGACTAAGCCACCCAGGCACCCCTAAAAAATTTTTTTAATGTTTTATTTATTTCTGAGAGAGAGCGTGAGCAGGGGAGGGTCAGAGAGAGATACACACAGAATCTGAAGCAGCTCCAGGCTCTGAGCTGCCAGCACTGAGCCTGATGCGGGGACTGAACCCACGAACCGTGAGATCAAGACCTGAGCCAAAGTCGGACGCTTAACTGACTGAGCCACCCAGGCGCCCATTAAGTTTACTTATTTACATAGACAGAGAGAGAAAGAGAAAGCAAGTGGGGGTGGGTGGGCAGAGAGAGAGAGAGAGAGAGAGAGAATCCTAGGTAGGCTCCACTGTCAGCACAGAGCCTGATGCGGGCTCAAACTCACAAACCATGAGATCATGACCTGAGCCAAAGTCAAGAGTCAGACGCCTAACTGGCTGAGCCACCCTGGTGCCCCTTAATCATTTTTCAAAATTAGTAATGCCCAGTGTGGGCCTTGAACTCACAACCCGGAGATCATGAATCGCATGCTCTACGACCAAGCCACCCAGGCGTCCCTCGTTTTAACCATTTTAAGTATGCCGTTCAGTGGTATCTTCACAGTATTGTGCAACCACCACACTCTATCTAGTTCCAGAATATTTCATCACCCTCAAAAGAAATTCCATCCCCTTTATCATTCGCCCCTCTCCTTCCCCCAACCCTCTTTCTCACAAACCCCCTTCCTCTGTGGATGAGCCTGTTCTGGACATTTCACACACGTGGACTCACACCTCGCGTGGCCTCCCGTGTCTGGTTCTCTCCCTGAGCATCGTGTGTTCAGGGCCCGTCCACGGCGTGGCGGGTGGGGGCTCCTTGTTCCTGCTCGTGGCGGAGGGACCACACCCAATGTGCAGATTGACCATGTTTCGTTCACCCATTAATGGGCTGATCAACATCAGGGTTGTCTGCACCTGTGGCTGCCGTGGACACGTGTGTGCCAGCATCTGCCGGAGTGTCTGGCCGCCCCTCAGCTTTCCTTCTCAGCAGCTCCCCAGCAGCCGGCCCGTCCTGCCCTCCCAGGGAACATGGCGATCGACGGCCCCGGGGCTCCAAGGGGCCGTCCAGCCACACAGGTGGTCCCCGTCTGGGAGACCAGGGGGTGGTTCATTTTCCACATCAGCTTGGCTGGGCCACAGGGTGCCCAGGGGGGTGTGGTCAAGCATTATTCTGGATGCTTCTGGAAGGCTGTTTCTGGATGACACACTGAAACCAGTGGACTTTGTTAAGAGAAAGATCTCGGATCCACGGGCTGACTCTACACCTTGAAGAACAGGAATGAGAAGTGGCAAGAGACCCCGGGGCCGGCGGAGGAAGGAAATGACAGACGCAGAGCGGAGGTGAACGTAATGGAGACTAGAGAAGCCACAGGAGAGTCAAGGAAATCAGAAGCTGGTTCTCTGAAGAGCTGGATGGAGCCGGCGACGGTCCGCTGAGCAGACCCGGAGCCGAGGAGAGAAGGCGCGGGCCATGGGAACGCGAGCGGCCGAGGCGCCGGGCGGCGGGGGCAGCGGGGGCCCCGACGACCGCGAACGGCAGCCCCGGCGGTGGCCGAGCCGGTGGACGGGCTCCCTGGACGCGCCTGCCCCGCGCGGCCGCTCACACCTGCTGCAGCGCCGGAATCCGCCTCGTTAGATGCACGACCGCGTTTACTCTGTGCAACGTTCTTGGGAAGTTGGAGGATGTTATTTCCGTGGCGGAGATGAAAGGAATCTGCCAAATGTGACAGAGCCGGTTAGGGGCGGCCCTGGGGTATGCACTCGGGTTTCCTGGCCCCGAGCCCGGAGCCCTGTCCACGGCGACCGAGCCCCAGTGTGTCACGTGCGCATGAAGTACTGTGGTTTGCTTGTTCCTTTTGCTAAAAAACAACAGATTCCAAACTCATGAAGTAAGAATGAACGTGCTATACCTTTTCCAGTTTTTCCAAAGAGCGACACTTTGCCCCGTCTGCAGGGAGAGAGCCAGAGGGGGCAGACCTGGTGCAGCAGTTTTTCACTTGACCACCTCCAGCTTTTCTCGGGGAAAGATGGTGCTGTCGCCAAAAACGTGGCGTGCGAACAGGAACCAGCCACAACCTCTGGAGGACCCGGGGGATTCTGAAGAGTCTGCTTACTCTTCCCAGCTGATCGGGTCGCGCGAGAGAACCGTGTTTCTCTGGAGTCAAGCGTCCGTCTGGAACTTGCACACTCCTCATTTCGGAACACGATGGTCCGATCCGTCAGACACACCAGTATCAGAAAAACAAAACATTCAGGAACCGAGCCCTGAGATGTAAGCTCAGTGTTTTTCCACGTCTGGTTTTCCACTTTGCTGGAAGCCACGTGCCGGGACGAAAAAGGGAGAGGTGGAAAGTGCAGACTCCGGGCAAAGCAATTAACCTCGGGTGGAGGAGGTGACAGGTATACGGGCACAGGAAGGCCAGGGATCTGAGGCTGGCTGCTGAGGGCCAGGGGGTCAACAGGAAGGGGAGGAAGTCCCGAGACCACACCGGGGTGGGCCTGGCTGCTTTGAAGCTGTTGTTTTCCAGGGGACGGGAGCCCTGCTCCAGGCGCAAGCCCGGACATGGCCAAATCTCTCTGATCCTGGGTGCACACAGCGCGACAGTCGCTGGGGGCCACCGTGTCCATCTGGTGGGATGACCTCGAGCCTGAGTGCCAGCTCCCCGCCCCCCGTGCTGCACCAGCTGCAGCACCGTGGCCTCCTATGTGCGACCAAGGAAGCTCTGGGCTCTGGAGGCCGGGGGAGGCGTGCAGCGGCCGGGGGGCCCCCCCATACTCTGAAAAGCCGGCAGCTAGACTCAAGTTTGGAGTGGGCGGAGGGGGGGGCGGTGCTGGTCCTTGGGGCTGGTTCTGCTGTGGGCTTGCCCTGCGGGATCCACAGAAGCCGCGGCCCCTGGGCTGGCGCGGGCCACGCTGTGTCCCTCTGGCTCCCAAGCGCTCCCGGCTCTCGAGAGCCAGTCCCTCTTCCTCCGCAAACATTATTAGCTCTTTCCACAAACCAACAGGGTTTTTTCCCACTCACACAAAGGGTCGTGCCACTGCGGCCCCTCCCGGGCCACAAGGGCCTGTGTCACTGCCCTGCGCCCCGGGGTGGGCATCGCGGGGCTGAGGGGGCGGCTGGCCACAGTGTGGCTCGGGAGGCCCGGCCCAGGCTCCGGGAGGCTCCCGCGTCTCAGATGCAGGGAGGAGGCAGCTGGGTGGTTCTCTCTAAAGTAGGTCTCTCCCAGGGCACTGGGGCGCCAGCAGGGGCCGTTCTCTGGGGGCATCCTGAGCACCACCCCGGCCCCAGCCAGTCCATGCCAGGAGCACCGCTGGAGGGGGAACAACCAAAAATGTCCCCAGACATCACCAATGTCCCCTAGGGGTCAGAATCTCTCCCCCCTGCCTCCGGTGAGACCCCCTGGGGTAGGAGGCTCCACTGTCCCCCAGGAGAACCCCCACACGGTTCTGTCAGTGTCTGACTCCTGAGGCCCTGGGACGCTGCACACACAGAAACACACACACTGAGTGGAGGGAGAGCGGGGGTGACTCACAGACGCCGGAGCCACCCTGGTTTGTACTGTCTGACCCCTGGGGATTCACTCTGGTGTGCGGTGTAGGCAAGACTGGGCTCGATGTTTTCCCCTAAATAACTGATGCACAGTCTCTCCCCTTTGGCACAGACACGGGAGCTCGGTCACCCTCTGGGGCGTTCTGGGCACTGTGAGGACCGAGCAACATCCCTGGCCCCGTCCCCTTGATGTCTCCAGATGTCCCCAGATATGGCCTGTACCCCTCGGGGCAGAGCCAGCGCTGGTGACACCCCAGCCTTAAGGGAGGGCTGGGTGAGAGCCAGCAGGGAACATGGCACCGAGTGCGGAGACAGAGCAGGGTAGGGGGCGGGAGGCTGCTCATGAGGTCTCCTCCCTGAGGGGCCCCCCTCCCTGCAGCCTCCTCCCTATGGGCTCCTCCCTGAGGGGGCTCCCCTCCCTGAGGGCCCCCCTCCCTGCAGCCCCCTCCCTACAGCCCGGGCAATTCTGTCTGAGCATCCCGTGCTGAGGGCCACCGGCTGGGATGCAGTCAGGGCTCACTGTCCGCAGATTCCTCGTTCTCAAATTTGCCTGCTCACTAACGTTTATGTGTAACCCCAATCAATTCTTTTTTTTTTTTTTTTAATATTTTTATTTATTTCTAGGGGGGAGAGAGAGAGACAGCATGAGCAGGGGAGGGTCAGAGAGAGAGGGAGTCACAGACTGAAACAGGCTCCAGGCTCTGAGCTGGCAGACAGCACAGAGCCCGACGGGGGGCTTGAACCCACGAACCGGGAGATCATGACCTAAGCGAAAGTTGGAGGCTTAACCGACTAAGCCACCCTCAGACATGTGCAGGGCAGTGAAAAATCTGTCGCTGACCCAGTGACCCACGTTCCCAGCTGCGGTGGGACGAGGCGCTCAGCCTGGCTGTAATCGCAGGGTCCCTCTCTCTCTTTTTTTTTAATTTTTAAAATGTTTTTATTTATTTGTGAGAGAGAGAAAGAGACAGTGCGAACAGGGGAGGGGCAGAGAGAGAGGGAGACACAGAATCTGAAGCAGCTCTAGGCTCTGAGCTGTCAGCACAGAGCCCGACGCGGGGCTTGAACCCACAAACTGTGAGATCATGACCTGAGCCAAAGTCGGATGCTTAGCCGACTGAGCCCCCCAGACGCCCCTGGAGGGTCCCTCTCAACAGCGAGGGCCACGGTGCTCTCCCTTTGCACTTTCGATGGCTGTGTGAGTCCGTGCAGGTGCTCCCGGCCACGACGCACCTCCTGAGAAAGTACCCGTGTTAGATCAGCCTCGTTCCGCAGCTCCTGTGCTGCTGGCGGTAAGCACTGCGTTAACGAGTCAACTGTACGTCGAAGTATTTTTATTTTTATTTTTTATTTTTTTTTTTTAAATGTTTTTTATTTATTTCTACGAGAGATAGAGAGACAGCGTGAGCAGGGGAGGGTCAGAGAGAGAGGGAGACACAGACTCTGAAACAGGCTCCAGGGTCTGAGCTGGCAGTCAGCACAGAGCCTGACGCGGGGCTCGAACCCACGAACCGCGAGATCATGACCCAAGCGAAAGTCGGACGCTTAACCGACTAAGCCACCCAGGCGCCCCAGAAGTATTTTTAAACAGAAGCACATGGGGGCACCTGGGGGGCCCACACGGTTAAGCGTCCGACTTCGGCTCAGGTCAAATCTCACAGTTCATGGGTTCGAGCCCCGTGTCAGGCTCTGTGCTGACAGCTCAGGGCCTGGAGCTGCTTCAGATTCTGTGTCTCCCTCTCTCTCTGCCCCTCCCCCACTCACACTCTGTCTCTCTGTGTCTCTCAAAAATAAATAAATAAACAGAAGCACGTGTGACACCTGATCGGCTGTTGGAGATGTGACCAGAGGCCCCAGGAACCTGACCCACCGTGTTCTCAGGAGCCGTGCTGCCACCCACCAATTCAGCGTCCACAGTGACCTCACGAACAGAGCTGCCACCGGCAACATGAATCCACCGTAAGTACGCACATAAATATAGAAACATAAATATATATAATTAGACGCCTAGGTTGTTTCTGTTTTTTTTCCTTTTTAAAAATAAATTTACCATGAAAATCTATTCACGTGAAATGAATATCCATTCACACGAAGGCTACGTATGCCTCTTTTTCCTCCAAAGAGAAATTCCTGAGTGTAAATCCTGAGTTCAAAGGTATAGGGGACTTAATCCAGCCACCCCTTCAAAAAGGCTGCAGAGAGTGTGAGGGGTGAGCGGGGCACTCGTGCAATTAGCCACCACCCCTCAGGGTGGCCAGTGAGCTACGGGTCTCAGATTCGGTCGCATTGTGCCATCCACCACCCTCTTGTTCAAGTATAACACTCTCACACACACATACAGAGGGGCATACAGATCACTCATTACAGCTCCGAGCACTTAAATGTGGCACCGTGTCACGAATACTGCATCAAGACACACAACATTTGCAGGGCCTCCCCCCAGAGTGTGTCTCTATCCTCTTTTCCATTATTAGTACAATTTTCATTATTATTAGTCTGACTTTCGCTCTTGAAAACAGAAAAGAGGACAGATGCTGATTTCAGGATGAGATGCTTAAGTGAGAAGGAAGAACTGCCTGGAAGATTCTGGAAGGTTCTGGAAGATTCTGGAAGGTTCTAGAAGATGGCCAGCCAGCATCTGCTCGGAGGCTTTGAAAGGTCAGTCTGTCTGGCCAGGGGGACAGTGAGGGGGGCTTTAAGTAAGTTCTAGCCATGGCCCCAGGCATTTGTCTGGACACCTGCCAGCTCGCTCTGTGAACCTCGATGCCTTGCCTGAAACTTGGGGGCCCCTGGCATCACTCTGGGGTCTCGGTGGGGACGAAAAGAACAAGTGCAGTGCCCAGGGCACTTACCCACAACAACGCGATAAGAATAATGTGACACAGATAGTGTATGACAGCCACATGGAGGCAAATCCAAATTACCTCCAGTAGGAGTGGTGGCTCCTTGGTCCCTCCCCAGACCTCCTCCTCTCACGTGCACGTCAGAGCCTCCACGGGGGAAGCTTATTGTCCCTTCAGTCTCCTCCACTCCCAAGCAAGGAGTGAGGACTGCTTCTGCAGAGCGAGCAGGGCCCGACGGTGCTGGGGACACCCGCTGCCTGTGGCTCACCTGTTCGAGGGAAGGGAGGAAAATTCCAGAAGGCTTGGCTAACTGACTCTGCTTTTTCATTAGCAAGGCCCTTCCTTCTTCATACACAGGAGTGGGTGGAGGCTTTCACATGCTGGGGTGCGTGTGCATGCATGTATGCATGTGCATGCGTGTGCGTGGGGGGGTCACGGGGGGTCTCACTTGGGGCGATCCTGCCCTCAGGCACACCAGGCAGTATCTGGGAAGGGCTGTGTCTGTCACGCCCGGGGAGTCCTTGCACCGAGCAGGTGGGGCCCGGCCTGTGTTTGTGGTGCGGGGACAGTGGCCTAGCTCACTCTGCAGCCTTTGATGCGGTCAGGCACAGGGACCCCGGCCCCACTCTGCGGCTTCACCCTGGGTCCCCCCGCCCCACACTGGGCCTCTTCTGGAAGGACCACAACTAGACTGTCCACCCTTTTCCTTGGTAGGTCTCACAAATGCCGAGAAACCCGCCCAGCGCAGGAAGCTGTCCCGGGCAGTGAAACGAACGGGGAGGGCTTCTTTCTGACCGTGACCAGCCCTTCTGGGGAGCCACTGGGCAATCCCCTCCCTGGGCGCCTCTCTCACAGGGTTCCCGTGCCATTTCTCAGAATGAAACTGGGCTGGCGGCTACCATTCATGCCCTCTGCCCTCTCGGGGCCTTGCAATAAAATCTAGCAGATTCTGTGGGTTCCCATCAAAGCCTGACCGTGAGGCACCATAAAACCCCAGAGCAGCCGTCCCCTGTCCTACGCCGGAAAGCAGGTCCCACGCTGTCACTGCTGCCATGGCTCATTCCTTTTTTTTTCCTTTTTAAAACATGACTGATAAATAAACATCACTTATATTCAGTTGAAAGTTATCCTTACTTTCAGTATCTACAACAGGGTCCCCCCCCACCCCTGTGCAGGTGACATCAGGCTGAGTCAGTCCCTGGGTGCTGTCCCAGGGGCTGTGGGGGCTGAGCAGCATCCCTGGCCCCCACCCTTTATGTCAGGAGTACGGAGTCGTGAGGCCCACAGATGTCCCCAGACACGGCCCCGTGTGGCTCCCACCCCCTTTCCACTGAGAACCACGCTCAAGGGGATTACTGAGTTAATTCCCCACTGTCTTCATTTTAAGGAGGATTTTTTTTTTTTAATGTTAACGGCCACCTTACTTTTTAAAAATGTGTTTGCATTCACATAACGGGCACACAGCACCTGCAAGTTTAAGGTACAAAGTGTTGACTCGATACCCTTCCATCCTGCGACACCATCACCAAGGTGACCATCAGCGGATGCCACATTTCCACCTCCCCCCACCCTTCCCTGGCCCAGGAAGGACCAGAGGCGTTTCCGCGGGTGCAGAACAGAAACACGTCACAGGACAAGTCATGGGGCATCAGAGGTGGTGCTGGGGGAGGAGGGGGGGTGCGATGACCCCCCCCAAGGAGACCACGGGACGGGTCACAAAGTGGGGAGGGCAGTTCTGTGTTTATCTCAAGGGACGACAATGTCTGTTGGCTGTGATGGGTGGATACTGTCCCCCAGAGTCACGGTCTCCTGGACGCTCACACGTGGCCTCGTTTGGAGAAAGGGTCTTTGCAGATGTGAGACGTCAAGGACCCCGGGGTGAGGTCGTCCTGGACGGAGGGTGGGCCTCGAGGCTGACAGCTGATGTCTTCCTCAGAGAGGGGAAGGGGTAGGCTGTCACACACATGGGGGAGGCCACGGGACCACAGAGGCAGGCACGGGGGAACGCCTGGAGCCCCGAAAGGCTGGAGGAGGCAGGAGGGACCCTCAGAAGGGAGCAAGAATCTGTGAAAACGCTGATTTGGGACTTCTGGCCTTCAGAATGTGAGAGCACAAATTTCTGTCCTAAGCCACTGAGTTTGGGTCACTTGTTACAGCTGCCCCAGGAACAGAATACATCGGTCGTGGAAAAAAGAAAGCAAGAAGGGTCCCTCTCTCCCTGCTGGCCTGGCAGACTCAGGACACTTGGGGAAATGCGGAAAACGCCCGTCCCCACCCCGGCCCCAGCAGGTGCTCCCACCTCTCACCTCTGTGCGGTTTGCATGGGAGGGAGGGAGGGTCTACAGACTCCTTCCATCCAGGACACAGCCCAAGGGCAGTGTAGACATCTGGGATTAGGAACCAGGCAGTGCAGGGCTTGCAAGCCTTGGATCACCCGCGGGCTTCAAGATACACAGACGCTGCTCCTGCCCCATGGAACGTGACGTAGTGGGTCTGGATGTGTCCCGCATGAGCCCCAGGGCAGCTGAGGTCGGGGACCCCCGAGGGAGTCCAGTGCAGTGTCCCCCAGGAGAGTGAGGCCTGGGAGTCTGAGGTGTTCCATGCCCCTGGATGGTGAGGATGGGGAACATGTGCAAATGTTTAATGAAAGTAAGAAACAGAAAGAACGAAATAAAAAACCAAATTCCTGCCCTGAGGGAATGTTCTGTGTGCCTGTGTGTGGGGATTTTAAAGACACAAACGAGTGACCACAGTGTGTGAATAAAGTGCTAAGTTACAAATACATACTTTTTTCCTGTAAAAGGCCAGATACTAAATAGTTTTGGTTTTGTGTGACACGTCGTCTCTGTTGCTACGATTCAACTCAGTTGTCACCATAAACAAGGCGTAACGGGCGTGCTGTGCACCAATAAAACTTTATTTGCAACGACAGGCAGGGGGCCAGACTTGATTTCCTGGCTGTAGTTTGCAGAACCCTGACCTAGAGGGACGGACAGACCTGACGTTAAGGAACGGCAGCTCCTCAGGGGGTTTCTGTCTCATCCAGAAATCCCGTCCCTACATATCTACCCAAGAGAAATCAGAACACGTGTCCGCACAAAAACATCGTGGGGTGCTGACCAGATGCACGGGGGTGAATGCAGCTGCATTGTCAGCTTGCAAGGCCTCGAGAAGTGAGCATTTACAAAGCCTTTCGGGAAAATGTCCTTCACAATGCAATCCAGGCATCCGAAGACGAATTTACACACATGGACACACACACGTACACATGCAGTGTGTGCACATGTGCATGCATACTTACACACATGTAATTATACACATATAGCGTGTGTATATGTGCACACTTACACACACACCCAGCTAATGACACACACAAATACCACGCATCAGTGGGAGGAACCACGGTCTGAAAAGCCTTGTGGAATCCAGGAGACACAGAACAGAGTCTAACGGAGGGGTAATAACAGCTCATACTTGTCCTACTTCTTTTTTTTTTTTTTTTTAATGTTTTTTATTTATTTCTAGGAGACAGAGAGAGACAGTGTGAGCAGGGGAGGGTCAGAGAGAGAGGGAGTCACAGACTGAAACAAGCTCCAGGCTCTGAGCTGGCAGTCAGCACAGAGCCCGATGCGGGGCTCGAACCCACGAACCGCGAGATCATGACCTAAGCGAAAGTCGGACGCTTAACCGACTAAGCCCCCCAGGCGCCCCCATACTTGTCCTACTTCTTGAAAGAAAAGTGCATGAAATGATGTATAATTTGTAGATGTACTAGACCATTCCTGACATTTGGGGTGTCCGGGTGCTGTGGGAGCTGGGCAGCCTCCCTGGCCATCACCACCCCCGTGATTCCCTGACACCTGTCAGAATGCAGGGGCAGCAAAGGAGGGGCTCAGGCTGTAAGGACCCGGAGCCGCCGTGGGCCCTGCCGGGGACCGTGGAGAGAGACGGCCCCTGAGACAAGTCTTGGCAGCACATGGAACGTACTAGAAGTTTTTCTCGGAATAAATGACACCCCGACCCCAGTAGGAAAACGGCCGAGGCAGTGGACAAACAATTCACACACAAAAGAAACCCGAACACACAGACACGTTCAGCCTTAACAAATATCAGGGAAATGGTTCACGACTGATGCCTGTCTGCCCCTCAGACCGCTGAGGATCTAAGACCACCGCATCGCGTGGGCCTCCCTTGTGGGGGCCTCTCCTGCACCAGGAGCCGAGGGCCACGTGGCCAGCCTCCCGGAAGGAAACCTAGAGTTGGTCGGAGCCGGCTCGAACCTGCCCACGGACTCTTGGTTAGAGCCCATTTCGTCCACAGCACAGGACAACCACCTTGGTGGCCTGGGGTCCGCCAAGTGGAAGGCTGGGCAGGGGGCGTGCCATCAACTTCCTGCTCCCAGGGCCCCAGACTCCGTGGATCTGCCGGGGGGGGTGTGTGTGCTCCCCTGGTCCAGGGGACATCCCGGCCAGAACCCTCTTCCCTGCTCAGCTGCCAGGCCCATGTGGGGGCCTCGGGCCCCGTATCCACTGGCGGGGGCTGTCCCTCCCGCCAGGGGCGGCCCTGACACAGGACCCCAGACCTGGCCTCCTCCAGCAGACATTTCCGGGCCGAGCGCTCTCTAGATTGGTTCGCTGGCACTCCGGCGCAGGTGGGTACAGACCGTCCTTGCGCCCTGCACTGTCTTTGTTCCTTTGTCCAGCATCAGCTGACACGACTTCTGGGTCTGTTTCTGACTCTGTCCTTTGGCCAAATCCATGGCTGCAGCCCCCCCAGCGCTCTCTGCCAGCACCCTTGTCTGCACTGCTGCCTTCCGCCATCCTCACTCCCTCCAGAGGCTCTGGGTCCTTCCTCCTCCTTCAGGCCCCCCATGCTCGTGCCACGGCCCCCAGTCCTCTCTCCCCCATGTGTCTGTGTCCAAACTGACCCCTTCTTACAAGGACACCAGTCACTGGGTTTGGGGCCACCCCACTCCAAGATGACCTCATCTCTAGCCTTTACCTTAATTATACCTGCAAAGACCCTATTTTCAAACACAGTCACAATCTGAGGTTCCCGGTAGACGGGAGTTTTTTGAGGACACAGTTCCACCCATCACACACTCTGTGCCTGCCGTTACTGGGGAGGGTGAGCAATGCCCCCTGGGAGCATCTGAGCTCCAGGGTCGGAGGGCAGATACGGGCCCACCTGCTCCCTGGACGCTTCTGGTGAGAGAAGGCCCTTCCCGTGGGAGCCCCGAGCTCACGGAACGGGTGGAAAGCTGCCCATGTGACCCTTGCTTCCTTCCTACCCACCCTCCATGGCCGAGTGCAGCAGCGCTGCCCAGAGAGCAGGTGACGCCCAGGGTCCCTGGCGCTCAGCACAGACTCTTAAATATCTCCAGTGCTGGGGAGTTCAGTCCCCTCCTGAACAACCGCTCAAGCCCTCACAACGCTTTGGGGACAGAGCCCAGACCCTCACGCACACTGCCGGTGGGGGCTCTGAAGCAGCTTTACTGAGATACAGTGCACACACCTCACACCTCGCCTCTCTGAAGGGCACAGTCCAGTGGCGGGTGATGTCCTCACAACCATCAGCACTGATAATGTCAGAACATTTCCATCACCCCACAAAGAAATCCTGTACCCTCATTCGTCACCCCCTCCCCTCCCTTCATTCCCCAGCTCCTGGGGGCCCCTGACCCACTTTCTGGTCATTTCTGCAGGCGGGGCTTTCAGTCGGCACCACTCCTGTCCATTACTCAGCCTGGCAACCAATACAGAAGCCTCCTCTCTCCGACACTACAACGCAGGTGTGTGCAGCGAGCCGGCCCCCGCGGACTAGGCGACGGTTCCCGGGAGGGCACCGGAGCTCACAGGGGACGGGCCTCCTGAGTTTAATGGACACCGTCCCGATCACGGCTCTCAGCACCTGGCTCCCACCGGGTTTCTGCACAGACGGCAGAGGCCAGGCTGATCAGAGGGAAGCCACTGGAAGACACAGCCCCTTCCCCGCCCTCTGTGTCCTTGGGGAACCGTCCACATGTGCAGTGGATACTCCCCTCCCGTGGTTCTGTGTCTAGAGAAGCTGGAGAGCAGGGCA